CTGGCTGGGGAATTCTGGGAGTTGAAGTCCACACATCTTCAAGTCCCCAAGGTTGAGAAACGCTGCTGTAAAAGAACACAATTGCTTACCAAGAGGGTTTTCTGAACAGCTAAGGCAAGATTCAAACCAGAAGATTTTTTGTTATCCTTCGTGAATCCTTCTTTTCGTTGTGATGCTCTTCCAGCGGAAAAACCTGGGACTAAAATAGAGCAAATTTGGCACCTGCCACAGTGACTTGCAAAGGGAAGCGGAGATGTCTGCCAGGTTGTATTCATTTAGGGGGTCATACTCAACGCTTACCAATTTCCAGCTGGCTGGAAAAGCCTGCTTTGAAACGACAACAGAGGAATGCCAGGGTACAAAGAAGTGAAACTGGCAGAACGTGGCGGCGATCGGCTTCCGTGCTGAGCACAGAAGCGATGCCCGTTCCGCGAGGCTGGTTGGCCTCAATAGTGGAAGGCCCCCTTGCAGATGGCAGTGCTTCTGGCATCCAGGTTTTTAATCGCCAGGGGCTCGTAACTTCTCCTCCTCCTCCCCTCTTCCTCCCACCTCTCCCAGCGGGCGGATAAGCGCGGCACAGTGCCTGCAGCACCCTTGGCTGAACAACCTGGCCGACAAAGCCAAGCGGGTCAACCGGCGCCTCAAATCTCAGGTCCTGCTCCGGAAATACGTGATGCGGCGCCGCTGGAAGGTAATAGCGGGTTGAGGGCACGTGAGGAATAGAGGTGGCCAAGCTGGCAAGCTGCAGATGCCTTGCGGGGGGCCTACAGGGTGGAGTCGAAAGGTTCAAGGTGGTGGCCATGCCAGCATGATCAGATCTCTGCCTGGTTTTTAAGTGCAGCCCTAACCTCGCTGTCACAACCACTGTCTTGACTTTGGACCCCCGCCCCCCGGTTGCCTGACGTGTTTGACTCAGTCTCAGAAAGGACCTTGTCTGCAGGAAAGCTTCACCCATATTTGCAAATCTCTTTGGCTCCCCCGATGACAGCCGAGGTGCATCCGGGCAAATTAAATTCAGGAATCTACTTTGCTTCTCCCGCTGTAGCCAAACAGAGGGATTGCCCTTAAAAAGGCGTCCATAAGCTCCCTGTCTGCCGTAAATGTATCCACGTCCACTAGTTCATTGCTTATTTTACAAGTATGTTTTTGCAAGTGTGAATTCCTCCAAGTGTGAATGGATGTTTCTGGATGACAGCATGGGTGCTGGCCAGCGAGTCTCTGCACAGCCAGATATTGTTGTGAATCTGGCAGAACTGTTACTCCCTGTTCCCTGCATAATCTAACCCCAGAGAGGAATTTGGGGCTGGATGTAAGCGAAAATGGTTCCAAATCAGCCTCGTTGGTCTAAAAATGTTACATCCGGCTTCATCCTTATTTTCTGGACCTCGTACCATCTTGATAGGTCCTCCCCGCTGGAATAGAGTGTCTTTCACACAACCCTATAAATAAACATCCAAGAGCAATCTGATCCTGGCCGTCAGAAATGCCCCTAAAAGAAACCCACAGCAACGACCCCCATTCCCCGTCCCCCAACCCCGAGGGCTTTCTCTTCCACTCATCCACAACAGTTTGGTACAAGGACATCGTGTGCCAGTTGAAATTGCTTCTGCCTCTCTCTTTTTTTTAGACAGCCCAGAGCTAAATTTCCGTCCCTGGAGAAACTCGCATCTGAGGGCCAAGCAAGCTCTCTGTTCCTCCCCAGCAGGAGCAGGAGCTGAGAAAAATTCTGCCAAATGCATTTTAAAAAATGCAAACTCGCTTGATTTGCAGAACGTACGCATATGGCCAAACGCTTCCCCGCTCCCCCCCCCCCCCGACACGTCACATTCGAAGGGCTTCTTGGAAGGCAGGGTTTTCCGCTCTGCAGTGTGACGTTTCTAGCCGTGCCTGAATCCTGACTGTCCTGTTCCCTCCAACAGAAAAACTTCATTGGTGTTTGCGCTGCAAACAGATTCAAGAAGATCACCAGCTCCGGATCCCTGACTGCGCTCGGGATTTGAATTGGGGGCTGGAACCGAGCGAGGGATGGAACCACCAGCCAGAGGCTTGGACGGTGTTGTGTTTGGATTGAGTAGCGGGGAGGAACAGCACCCTTCACGGATCACAGGACAGTGGGGCCCGGAGCATGGGACCTTGCGCAGAGATGCTCCACCCCTCCGTACAAAGTCTGCCCATTCCCCTGCCCCAGGCCCTGCCCC